CCTCTTACAAGAAGGTCGTCGACGTGTTCTACGAGGCGGACATTGGTCTTGGGGGACGTACTCTCGATGAGGAGAAGATTCAGGGTACACAGCATGAGGAGAAGGATGTGTCTGCACCCGCTTGATGTACCCATCCCGTTTCAGAGCAGTATAGTTAGTAGTCAGAATACCATGGTTTCAAAAAGAAACAAGTTGCGAAGATGTGCAAACAGCAAAAGAAATGCGTAATCTGGGAATCGAACCCAGGGCTCCCCGACGCTGCTCGAATGGCAACGGAGAATTTTACCACTAAACCAATTACGCTTGTGATTTGTTGAAGAGACATATGAAAATAAAATCTATGTATTGCAATGCTGGGTCTTTGTGGATGTGATGAAATTTTCTCGCGTGGGGCGGATGTGGGGCGAACAAAGGTATTGTGCTAGCCGAACCAATTAGAGGTGGACTGAGCCCCTCTAGGGGCTAGACTGAAACCGGCAATCTGTCGTGTGTACGTTCCTCATTGTTCGAAGTGCGTTTATTAAGGTGGGATATGGAGTCTACAATCTATAGATTGGGAAAGTGAAGGACTAGAAGAGCGCCTGAATGCCAAAGCATAATACTTAGTCGTTCAGCACTGACTTAAGATACTCTCCTATCAAATCCTTCAAGTCAAAAGCATTGTTGTAGACGATGCCAACAGCGACATACTCGCCTCTCTCCGTTGAAACAGAACATGCAGTGACATATCAGCTACAAGAAACACATACAGTTAAGCATTGAGTTTACCGTTTCAAATCTCATAAGATCTTCAATAAAGGTCGAAGCTTTACCGCGTGTGTTGACTGTTTCACGTTTATTTTTATCATCAACTTAGAATCCCGAGATCTTACCCTGTATCTCAACCGGGACATTAACTGCCGATACCTTATTTCTAACCTTATTATCTCCCGGTTTCATATCAACAGAAACATCCAGTAGTTTACCAAACCGTTATTCAACACTCATCACATTGTGACAGATGAGCTATGTATAGGCTCATCACCTGCTTGTGAAGCAACCGGTGCTCCATATTGACTCGCCTCAACTCCGTGAAGATCACGAGTGGGTCAAAGGCAATATCTGTCTGAGTACTGATTTACATACGCCGTGGCAAGGAAGAGCCTGGAATCATAACATGGCCATCATCGACGATGGGAATCCCAGTACCGGCTTTACGCCAAGAGTTCTGTCTTGTTACCTCGGTGACATTTGAGAACAAGTCCCCATAGCAATTGTCTCAAAAGCTACCTCACAGACCATATTTCTGCGTGGGATGTACTCTTTTTGGATACCGATAAATCATCCGAGAATACCCTCTCACACTCTCCATCCACCAAGAGAATACTGGAGAAGCTGGACCATCATGATGCAGCCACAGTAGCCAATCTTGCATTGACGCCTCACACGTGTAGAGATCCCCTTCTCTCATTCGTTGCTCTGAAAGCTTGGTTCGGGCAATACCCGCAGATCTAACACAAAAAGGAATAAGCTCCTTGGCTTTATCCACGATAAAGTTGGGCAGGGTCCCTCTATCATCATCCCTGCCTGCAGCATTTCTCGTTTGGTGCACCGAAGACTTGAACGCATGGTGCCTGTTTGATTGGCCGCTTTTTCGTTGTGTGTTTCGAGGTTCTGAGGTTTGGCTGAAAAGAGTTATGAGTCGCGTGTCTGTGCTTCTTGGATGTTCAAACACACGAGGGTCACTCTAGAAGCTGAGAGCCGTCAAGCATCAACGGTCAAGAAAGGAAGAGGAATCGGTCTCTTGGAGAGGATAGAAGAACAGTCTAGCAACTCAAATCTAGCAATTGAGTTCTCAGAAAGGTTCCATACTCAACCTCGATATCTCCCCATCATCACAAGCTCTCCAGCTCGTTTCCCCTCCGGGATTCGTCAAGCCATAGCTCGCCTACAGCTTGGCATACATCCCCCTAGCATTAGCCATCTGCATCACCATCTCAGACGTCGGTGACGCATTAGGAATCATGTCGTGTGCTCACGCACTCTCCCATCTCAAACCCATCGTATTCCCCCTCAGCTTGTGTCGCGTGCCTTATTTCCCAAATCATCGTTTCTCCTGCGATCGCCGGTTACAGCCTGCGACGTTTTAGCAGGAAACAAGGTTAGTCACAAGCTTAATGTAAGCTTAGTTCTCAAGTGGAGAGGTGTCTCCAGTCTCTTCAACGCCTCCCGGATGTGTTACTACCGTTGAGAGAAGCCAATTGCTAGCTGTATAGCCTGTTCGTGCATGTTCCAGCCCTGTTCTGTGATACGCAGTCACACTCGCATTCTGTTGATCTGATTCTTGGCATACAAGAATTTCTGTGGCAAGCCTGGGATGTTGATGTTAATCCTAGTTTGAGGTCCTTTTTTACTCTTCTTTGGTGGAATCGTCTTGGCGATGTCTTGTCTTGGCCCTTTTTCTTGGGGGGCGTGTGAGTAACTCCATAACCCACGTAGAACAATTCTTTCTTTTCTTCTCCACAAGCTGAAAAACTTATATATACTATGGAAATCTCTCCTAGAAGCTGAATTCTCCAGATCCCTCACACATCCTTCTTTTCTTTCTGAACTTCTTCTTTTACTGCACCGCTGAAATGGCAGTCTTCGCTCAGTACGACTACCTCTTCGCGGTAGGCACTATCTTTGCCTTCCTCGATGCCTGGAACATCGGTGCCAACGATGTCGCCAACTCATGGGCCTCATCGGTATCTTCCCGATCTATTAGCTACTTCCAGGCTATGATCGGTGCTAGTATCATGGAGTTCACTGGTGCTCTTGGTGTTGGTGGTCGTGTGGCTGATACCATCCGAACAAAGATTGTTGATGTCGAGGCCTTTGATGATAGCCCTGCTCTTCTTATGCTGGGTATGGTTTGCGCTGTTGTTGCTTCTGCTAGTTACCTCACCTTTGCTACCCGTTTTGGTTTCCCTGTGTCTACTACCCATTCCATCCTTGGTGGTGTTTTGGGTATGGGTGTTGGTGCCCTTGGTGGCTCTGGTATCACTTGGGTTGGCTACAAGGAGGATGGCTCTCTTGATATTCAGCAAGGTGTTGTTCAGGTTAGTACTCAAAGACACAATCTGACACTTACATCCACTAACTCACATCTCACAGGTTTTCCTCGCCTGGATCATCGCCCCTATGCTTTCCGGTATTTTCGGTGCCTCCATCTTCCTCTTCACAAAATACTGCGTCCTCCTCCGCAAGAGCCCTGCCATCAAGGGTCTCATCCTGGTCCCCTTCTACTTCTGGGCCACCGCCTCACTCATTGTCATGCTTCTCATCTGGAAGGGTGGCTCCTATGAGGTCAAGCTCACCGAGGAGCAAATCCCCGGTGTGATCGTTGCTGCTGGTGCTGGCTGGGGTCTTCTCATGGCCATCTTCCTCGTCCCCTGGTTGTACCGTATCGTCATCAAGGAGGATTGGCAACTCAAGGCCTACCACATCTTCCTCGGTCCTCTCCTCCTCCGCCGTGGTCCTGTTCCTCCTACTCCCGACAACTTCCAGGGCGTTGTCCGCAACTTCTACGAGGGCCATCTTACCCGCGAGGAGCTTGAGGAGCGCCGCACTCAGCGCGCTGCTGCCCTTGGTGAAGATCTTGAGGCCGGTGGCAATGACAAGAAGGTTGTCACCGAGCAAGCCACCGAGGAACCTGCCGTCAACCCATACCAGCACAAGTCCATGATTGGACCCAAGCCTGATGCCCCTTGGTACACTGGTGCTTTCCTGTGGTGGGCTTTCAAGTTTGCCATTCTCCACGGTGTCGATAAGGATATTGTCGGTTCTCAGAGCGAGAAGTCTGTTGTTGCTGGCGATGTTGAAGAGATCCACGCTCGCGCTGAGCATTTCGACAACCGCGCCGAATTCCTGTACACTTTCCTCCAAGTCATGACTGCTGCTTCTGCCTCTTTCGTCCATGGCGCTAACGATGTTGCCAACGCTGTCGGTCCTTATGCCTCCATCTACCAGATCTGGCAGTCCGGCGCAGTTCCTGGAAGCAAGGCTCAAGTTCCCATTTGGATTCTCGCTTTCGGTGGTGCTGGTATTGTCCTCGGTCTCTGGACATATGGTTACAACATCATGCGTAACCTGGGTAACCGTGTGACTCTCATGTCTCCAGCGCGTGGCTTCTCCATGGAACTTGGCTCTGTTATCACTGTCATCTTGGCCACTCGTCTTAGTAAGTTGTCCCACAAACGCTTTTTAACAACATTCCCTAACCAGTCTTGCAGAGCTGCCTGTGTCTACTACTCAATGTATCACTGGTGCCATTGTCGGAGTCGGTCTATGCAATGGAGATTGGCGTTCTATCAACTGGCGCATGGTCGGATGGATCTATCTCGGATGGTTCATCACTGTTCCTACAGCTGGTCTGATTTCAGGATGCTTGATGGCTTTCATCACATACGCTCCTAACTGGAACTAGAGAGCGACTTTTATGAAATGGGTAGATTGCGATAGAACTGTTATGATTTTATGTTAAAAGGCGCTTGGGAACACGATACAGAATATACCAATTTTATGATTCCATATTAAAGACATAACCTTGCCGATGTGACTTCTAGGGGAGGGGAGGCAAGAAAACTTAAGACCTCTATCCTAAATAACAAGAACACTTAGGTAAATTTAGGTAAGTGTAGTATAGCCTTAGTAGGCCTTTACATCGCTTTATTTAGCTCTTTGGCTTAAGGTTGGAAGTTTTCTTGCTTCTTAAAGGACTGTTTAAGGCCTTATCATCACATCTTGACCATGGAACTCGTATAAGAGAAAGAGACAGGGTACTTTTATTGAAGGAATGGCTATCTTAAATGATGAAACATGTACCTAATCCCTCCTCAACCTATCACGAGACAGCGCAAAGTGCTGCATCCTTATTATGTACCCAGGTCAAGTGGTTCTCTTGTGTCCAGTGACACTGGCCTTCAGATTGATGTCTTCAACCTCACGCCTGGATGGCCATGCCCTAGTTTGGGAGCGCATCAGTTGTAGAGTCGGGCGAATCGCACGGAGCGCTTCAGGGGCTTATGCTCCTTCTCATCTGCTTCGACGTACTTAGCAGCCCACTTCTCAACGGTCTTTTCAACAGCCTTCTCGACCGTGGTGTCGTCATAGGGATCGGAGCGCTTGTCGCGCTTACCATCCTTGTTGGAAGACTTGGATTCTTCCTCTGTCTCAACCTTGTTGGAAGACTTGGATTCTTCCTCTGTCTCAACCTTATCGGAAGACTCAGACTTCTTAGCCTCTGTCTTAAGCTCGGATTCCTTGCTTCGCTTATCCAACTTCTCATGCTCAGTTGACTTCGCAGTCTCAGCGGTCTCCTCCTCCAATTCGAAGATGGCAGTGAGGGCCTTGCGGACTTCCTTGTCGATGATCTTGTCAAGAATCTTGAGAACCTTCTCGATGGCGTGTTCAACCTCCTTATCTGAAGGGTGATCACCCAGAGCCTCGAGGGTCTTGGCGAAGATCTTGTCAGCAGCCTTGATGATTTCGCTGATAGCACGAGCAATGTACTCAACAACCACTTCCTCCTCAGGCTTTGCAACACCGTCAATCTTGACAATGTGGGAGATGGTCTTCTTGAGGTTCTTTGCAACGATGCCCCTGATGGCCTTCTCAACCTTCCTGATGTACTTGAGGATAGTTCCAGAGGTAGGGTCTGGACCGGCCAGTTTAACAGCCTCTCGGATGACCTCCTCGATAGCGTCGGAGATGTTGTCCTCAGCCTCTTCAATGTAGTTCTCCACCTTGGCAGTATTGGCCTCCACCTCAGTAGCTTCAGTAGCTTTGTGAGACTTAGACAGAAGGGAGCGCTTGTAGGCGCCCTTCTTACCACTCCAGTGTCCAGTCTCAATGGCAAAAAGCTTCTCTCTGAACTTGCGCTCATGAGTGACACGCGCATTCCATAGCTTCTCCAAAGCATCGTGCTTGGCCGTTTTCTTCTCACTCTCCAAGCTCGTCTTCTTGCCGGAGTAGTGGGAGGACTCTTCGGACTCGGCGGGCTCATGCTCATGCTCGTGCTCCTTATCCTCGTGATGACCGTAGTGATGCTTCTCTTCAGGCTCATCCTCGTGTTCCTCATGCTCATCGTGATGGTACTTCTTGGGCTCATGCTCATGCTCCTTTGAGTGCTTGTAGTGGTGCTTCTTGGGCTCTTCCTTAGGCTCGTAGTGAGTAGAGTAGTGCTTCTCAGGCTCATGCTCCTTATGCTCGTGGTGATAAGGGTGATGCTTCTCAGCTTCGTGCTCCTTGTGCTTGTAGTGGCCAGAGTGGTGCTTCTCAGGTTCTTCGTGCTCGTAGTGCTGATGCTCCTTCTTTCCGAAATGAGTGTGGTAGAACTTGTTAACAGCTTCCTGGAAATGTTCCTTCAGAACCTCTTTGACCTCCTCCTCTGACTTTTTGTAATCACCGTGCTCGAAAGCAGACCTCTTATCATGCTCGTGCTCGTACTTAGGTCCAGATTTGTACTTGTGCCCGTGCTCTTTCTCATGTTTGTACTTGTCCTCTTCGGAGTGATACTTGTGCTCAGGATGGTCCTTGTACTTGTACTTGTGCTCGTGCTTCTTGTTGACCTCTTCCAAAAGCTGCCTGTACTTCTCAGCCTCTAGCTCACTCTGAGAAGCCTTTTCATTCTTGGAGGCATCAATGTGAGTGCGAGAGTGATCGCTCTTTTCCTTGTAGAAGACAGAAACTGGACCTTTGTGGTGCTCAATCGATCGCCTGTGGTGGCCGTAGTCGTGCTCGTGGTCATAGTGATGCTTATGAGGATCATGGTGGTGGTGACCGTGGTGGCCGTCGTGATGACCATAGTGATGAGGGTCGCGGTGACCGTCATGATGCTTGTAATGATCAAGATGATGATGGCCGTCGTGGTGACCATAATGATGGTGCTTGTAAGGATCATGGTGATCATAACCATGGTGGTGGCCGTCGTGGTGGCCATCGTGGTGACCATCGTCCTTATAGTCATAGTAAACATGATGTTGCTTATAGTGGTAATGGTCGTCAAAGTGCTTGTGACGATGCTTGTGGACATGGTCGTGAGCGTGGCTGTGGTTATGGCCATGATGATGTCCGTGATGGTGCTTATGCCCATGACCATTGCGCTTATCTCCGTCACCATCGACAATATCCTTGAGCAAGCCACGAGCATGGTGGTGGTTGTATCCGTCATGGTACTCACCGTGGCGGTGCTTGTGACCCTCGTGGTGACCGTGATGATGGTTGTGGTGCTCAACATGATGATGGCCGTGATGCTCATTGTGGTGGTGGTTTCCATCATGGTGCTCATAGTGGTGGTGGTTTCCGTCGTGATGCTCACCATGGTGGTGCTTGTAAGGATCATGGTGGTGATGAACAACGTGGTGACCGTCATGATGATCATGGTGATGACCGGGATCGTCGTGGTTGTAGTGATATCCAAAATGCTTGAAGTACTCGTCCAAGAAAGCATTGAAGTCATGGTGACGGCTAGGATCATAGTAGTTATGGTGCTTGTAGTGCTCATAAGCATCGTGATGACCATGATGACCGTGGTGACCGTGATGATGTCCGGGATCGTGATGATCGTGGTGCTTGTGACCATCGTGGTGCTCATGATGGTCATAGTGTCCATACACAGAGCGGGCCTCATGGTGCTTGTGATGAGGATCATGATGATGGTTCTTATGGCGGTGATCATGATGATGATGCTCCTTGTGGAGGTGACCATGTCTGTGTCCATGACGATGAGCGTGGTTGTGACCATGGTTATGGTGATGCTTGTGGTAATGCTCATGGTGGTGTTCCTTGTGCCTGTAGCGGCATTAGTCCTGACGAATTGATGGGATGAAGCGGGGGTAGTACTTCTCTTCTTCCTCTTCGGCTTCAGCTTCAGCCTCCTCCTCTTCTTTCTTCTTCTTGTACTTCTTCTTTTCTTCCTCAGCCTCGGCTTCCTCCTCTTCCTTTTCTTTCTTCTTCTTGTACTTCTTCTTCTCTTCCTCGGCCTCTTCCTCTGCTTCCTCCTTGTTCTTCTTGTACTTCTTTTCTTCTTCAGATTCTTCGGCTTCGGTCTCTTCTTCTTCCTCCTTCTCCTCAATCAACTCGATCTTCTTGTGCTTGTACCTGAGTAATGTTAGGTGAAGTGGGGCATGCTTATTAAAGGATTGACTCACTCCTTGCACTCAGCACAAGTGTAGCTGAGAACGAAGTACTTCTCGTTGATATCGGGAGAGCGGCTGAAGAGCTCGTACTTCTTGTGCCCGTGGGAAATGGTAGCCTTGACCTTGATGTAAAGTCTCCAGCCTCCATTGTCCTCGAGGGGACAGAGGTCGCCGTAAGAGCCGCCATCGGAGAGCGAGAAGAAGGGGACCAAGCACTTGGCCTCCTTGTAGTCGTTCTTCGCCTTGCAGTGATCGCTCTTTTTGTTGTACTTGAAAGAGTCCTCTGTTGGAGGCTGACCACGCTCGATGTAGACAGCTACATCCTCATACTTGTAGTGGTCGATATGCTTGAAGTTGAAGACGATGCCGTTGTCCTTGAAATCGAAGGAAACCTGGCTCAAGGCCTCATGAGGAGCGCAGTGGGATGTGCCGACACAGAGATCCCAGGAGTTGCCGGGCTTATAGTCGTTCTCAGGGAAGACAAATGTCGCAGGGTCGGGAACCCACTTGTGCTTGCCATCCTTTGAACATCCTTCAAGAGAGTGATGCTCTTCTTTACCGGATTCAATCTTGAAATGGGCAAGTGACTTGTGGGCTACAACCCCGAGGGCCCCATGAAGGGCGTAAAAGAGGGACGTTCTCATCTCTTACTCAGAACAGAGTGCAGAAATGAGAGGGTAACGAATGAGGTGAGAACTTGATCGGTTTGTTGAGACTGATCACTGGAGATCCTTCAACTCTTTTGTACTTGGACTCATGTGACGTCTCGTCCAACTTGCTGGATCTCACATGTGGAAGGAGGAGGTTGGAAGCATGATGTCGCCGCCTTCATGGCGGTATTCAAAGTTTTGAGGCTTCGGAGAGAAATATTCTAAACTTCAGAATGAGGAGATATTGTGTCGAAAGGGGCTTTGTGGATCGATAATGCCCCAGCAACGACGCCAATGAAAGGTGACGGCGAGCAGAGAGTCTTCAACAACGAACTGTTCCTGATGTTTATCCAAAGCTGATTAGAAACAGGAAGACCGCAGTTTACCTGTAATGGCTTTGATGAGTCGCTTCGAATCCCACTGCTGAGTTTCGACTCTGCGAAATGTCCAACCCCGTGAGTGGACGCCATGATAGTGTTTCGAGATACCAAACCCTTCCCTTACTGGCCCTTTCGCTTCAACTCGGCATTGGGACGATACTTTAGTAAGCTCACTCGGGAGTTCAGTTCCGAGGAGGAGACTGAGGCTTTTGTGGCATATAGCCAAGACGTATGTGAATATTCATCACGCCATTTGACGAGTTCCACATCGTATGGCCATCGCCTGCACAGGAAGAGTAGGTCGGTGCCCCAGCTAGGGGGAAAAAGAAAACACGAGAATGGATTTGGTGGTAGATCGGTGGATTTTGGTGTAAGCCAGTCTCGTGTATTTTTTCACCCCGAGGCCCAGGCTGTCCCAGTCCCGGTCCCCGTCTCTTGGTGCAGGCGCGTATGAGCCCTATGGTTCTCAGAATTCGTAATATAATCGAAGATTGCATGTGAGAATGCAACGCGAAGCGGTCCAAAGGCTATGGTGAGCAGGTTTGCGTAATTGATCGATGATAGGTCGCTGTCAGATGACGAGGTCGGTCCGTCTCGAGAGTTGGCTGCAGGATGTATCCCGTCTTGCGAAAGAGAAGTCCAATAGATGTTTGACGATGCTGAAGGAAGAAGTTGTCGATGATATCCAAGGTCTTTTTGCATTGGTTCCTGAGGCCTAAATTGAGGAGTAACTTTGTTGGGAAGCTTCGATAGGTCGAAACAAGGGAAACAGGCAGGAACGGGGATAACCTAACAGTACCTTGATGTAGAAACGACAGTAAAATGACTCTAAACGAGATTAGACGATGGAATACGAAATCTAAACGCCTTGTAGGCTTGTGATAAGCTTTAAGCTTAAAAGAGTGCCGAGGCTTACATGTCATTGAGTTTGATGGCGGATCGACGATCCATTGTTTTCCCCACGGGGTCTTCCTCAATCGTGCGTAGTCATAGTAATCAATAAGACAATGGGTACAAAGAATAATGATTAGGGAAATTCTAGGTGGTGCTGATGGGTTCTCTTCATAGGAGGCCTCATTTAGGAAAAAGTTGGTGACAGTCACAAGTAATGTTCCAGGTTTTAGAGTATCTTTAGCACCCTAGTGATAAAGAGTTGAGCGATGAGTGAAATTAGACGCGTTACTTAGTATACGAGTGTTCCTAGTAGCTTGTTCCAATGGTATCCCAGGATGAACAGCAATGAGTCCAATTGAATGAGAACAAAAGCGATGTGCAGACTCAATACAAATGGACAGCAAAAATATTTTACAGATAAGGTTTTGGAAGTGAACATTCAAAGACACAGTTGAAAGTTATGTGCCGTAAAATGTCTATAAAACTCTCCAACCGTGGGGCTTTCAAGCCTCAAAATCTGCTGTTGCACGAAACTCGCGATGCCCTCACTTTTCGACGCGGCACTCTTTTATATATTCTTACTATTTGGTATAGCCATCAAATTAGGCAGAATATCCCAAGTAATGGATTATGCTGAAAGCTATTGGTGAATCCAACTTATATACTGTTCAGTTTCATCTGAGAACGAACATGTCACTGTGTGCACTGAGCACTCTCCAGTGTCACTGGCAGTGGCAGCACCCAGCCTGAATCACCGGGAACATCACTGTATCATATTTACTCCTATTGTATTAATATAATCCTATTTCTTTCAAACTTCTTTTCATCTTCCTCTTCATCCTACATCAACAGCCAGAACAACATCTCATTGTTGATCATCACTATCTCACTTTCTATCAACTCTAACCTTCTTGCAGCTCTTCTATATCATCAGGACCTACCAAGACAAGTCAACATGAAAGTGGCTATCATCGGCGGTGGTCCAGCTGGACTAGCGACCCTTCGATTCCTTGCTCATGCCCACGAGTACTTCCCCATCCCTCCTATCGAGGTCCGACTCTTTGAAGCAGAGGCCCAAATCGGCGGCACTTTCTCCTATCGTGTCTACGAAGATGCTGAGGTAAGTTAGCACCCCTTTCCTTTAATGAACCATATGCTAACTGTATCATAGCTCGTTTCTTCAAAGTATCTCACTGCTTTCTCCGACTTTCGTCTCCCAGAAAATGCCCCTGACTTCGTTACCCCTGAAGTCTACGTTCAGTATCTCAAGGACTATGCCACCAACTTCGACCTCTGGCCTATGATCGAGCGTAGCACAAAAGTTGACAAAGTTCGTCGTGGGCCTAATAACATTGGTCATGTCATCTCTCTGCGCAACAAGACGGACGCCTTTGATTGGGAGTGTGACGCAGTTGCTGTCTGCAGTGGAATCAACGTCAACCCAGTCATGTCCTACATCGAGGGTATCGAACGAGTTCCCAAGGTCCTTCACTCATCCCGTCTCAAGTCTCGAGAACAGTTTGGTGAAAACACTAATGTGTACATCATGGGTGCTGGTGAGACCGGTATGGATCTTGCGTATCTCGCTGCCACTTCTGGCGCAAAGACTGTGACTCTCTGCCATCGCGATGGCTTCTTTTGTGCACCTAAGGTATGTTATCACACTAATCCTGTATGAATTAAGCTAACAGTTTACAGATCATCCCGATCCCACAAGCCTTGGGGCGTCCCACACCGACTGCTCCCAACAAGCCTGTTGACACATCTGTCGCAAGCTTGTTCGACACGGCGTATGTCCACCCGAAGCTCCAGAAGAGCCAACTTCTCTGGACTTACTACAATAGTTGGATCAAGAACATGCACAAGTTCATCTCAGGTACTGAAGAGGGCCCCGATCAGTGGGTTGACCAGATGAGCCCTACCCGGAAGTACATGGATTCAAGTAAGTACCCACCTATCTCACTCACAAGACATGATAGCTAACATATCAATAGTCCTCCACTGCAAGTCTGACAAGGCTCTACCATACCTGAGCGTCGGCAAGCGATCCCAGTCATGGGGCAACCGTATCCGATCCTTCTTCATGAACGTCAAGATTGAGGACACTAAGGGTAAGAAGATCGATGTGGTGACCTGGCCTACGAGCATCGACCGTGATGGCTACATGCAGTTCGACGATAAGCTTCCGAGTGATTCTGCTCTCCCGAAGGAGCAGCTCAAGCCTGGTGTCATGGTCTTTGCAACTGGCTACACTCGAGATTTTCCCTTCTTGGACAACGAGTACCCAACTGTCTCTCAGACCAACATCCGAGAAATCTACAAAGAAGGAGATGTGACTCTGGGCTACATTGGATTCGTCCGCCCTTCCATTGGAGCCATTCCACCCCTTGCCGAGCTTCAAGCTCAGCTGTGGGTTCTTCACCTTCTCCAGCACCGGTATCCTAAGGAGGTACCTGTTGCCCGTGACTCTAACGCTCTCGAGTCTTACGACCTCGACTATCAGCTTCACCCCCGAGGCAACTACAGCTTCTACGAGACCAAGCGAGCTGTCGACCACGAAAGTTATGCCTACCAACTCGCCCTCGACATTGGTTCTGCACCCAAAGCCCTCTCTGTCATGAAGAAGGGCTGGAAGGTCTTTTACACCTGGGCCATGGGCTCTAACTTTAACACCAAGTTCCGAATGGTCGGTCCTTGGAAGTGGGAGCAGGGCGCGGAGAACATCATGCGTAACGAGTTGTACAATGTTGTCAAGCACTCCGGCGGCTTCGTCTGTAAGTATTCCCCCATCCCTCTTTATTTGAAACATCTACTAACTGATTTTATAGATCTTGCAACCTATACCCTCGTCCCTTTCTTCATTTTCGGAAGCATGAGCTTGAGCCTCTATGCTTGGTACGCTATCTGCGACTTTTTCACCTCTCTTTTTGGTGGACGCTCTGAATCTACCACGAACGATCAGGACGCCCCCGAAAACCGAATTGCGTGAGTGGACATTGGCGTCAAATTCTGACTTTGAGTATGAAGCCACGGGAGGTTTTGAGCAGATTGAAAGATTGACTTTTTGCCTTTTGCGATGTTGACTTACACCGGATATGAGAGGCTGGTTTGAGTCTTGCCAGTTGACATTGGTTTTCTGTAGACTAGCGACAGCTTTTAGACTAGATCTTTTGTAGAAGCCAATAGACAGATGAATGACTTGTGACTTTTGGCGCTTGCAGCAGATGCAGGTCTTTAGATAGTCTAGGGGAGGCAATGAAACTCAAGACTTATATCTTAAGTGACAAAAAGGGTTAAGTAAGTTTAGGATAGATTTAGGCAAGTTTAATATACTTAGTAGGCCTTTGGACTAGTTACTTTTGGCACTGTCATCAAGCACCAGAAGTTTTATTGCTCCCTGAGGGTAGTTTTATGCCATTTATCACCTTTACTCTGGTGATCCATTTTCGAAAATATTGCCATTTAATGTGAATTTTCATTTCATAAGTTTCCCGTGATAATAAGTCTCTGGTCATTATCTCGGCTCGAGGTGAGAGCTACCGAGATCTCGGTGAAGATCGGAGTGTGGGGGCCGTGGCGGGGCTCACCGAGGTGAGGCTGGCTTACCTTAGTTTTTTCTTCCTTTCAAGGATCGCAAATCATACCTACTCCAACAAACGCAATGGACAAGGAAACGGTACAGCCCAATTCATGGGTAGCCTTACGGCTTCCCAATGAGACATATCGTGTATTACAAGTCGTACCAAATACGTAAGCCAATCTTCGTTTTCCCACTCTCTGCACGACTAACTTGCGACAGGACAATCTCGCTGGGCAAGTATGGCTCATTCCCAACAAATCTGATCATCAACCGTCCGTACCACTTCACATACGAGGTCCAGGACAAGCGCGAAGGAGAAACATTTGCGCGCCTTCGTGTCGTATCCGCCAAAGAGCTCAATGCCGACGACTTGGCCGACACCAGTGCCGAAGCGACAGAACCAGCCGAGGGAGACGATGTTATTGCACCTGCAGATGGAGAGGAGCTTACTCTTGTCGACGAGAGCGGAAAGGTTCTCATTCGATCGAATCGCGAGATCATCGACGACTCGGCCCGACAGACACTCAAGCCGGAAGAGATCGAGGAGCTCAAGCGCAAGGGCGCATCAGCTGGCAAGGAGTTAATCGCCAAGCTACTGCTGTCGCATACGGCTATTGACCAAAAGACGGCGTATTCTTTGGCCAAATATAAGCTCCTCAAGACGAAAAAGTATATTCGACGGTTTACGGTGTTACCTCTTGACGTGCCGATGCTGGCTCAGTGGTTGCTGGAGGACCGTGATGCTTCAAAGATTCTTGAGATGAGGCAGGAGATGATGGCGCTGGTGGGTTGCTGGGCTGATGTTCATTATGGAGGTGTTCCTACCGAGGATGCTGGTGCTTCGCAGGGCGGGAGGTGGTTGGTGGTTGATGATACGGGTGGCTTGCTGGTGGCATCTTTGGCTGAGAGGATGGACATCCTGCATCCCAAGCCTGAGGAAGAGAGCACGGAAGATACCGCTGCACCAGAAGTCACAGAAACCACTGCTCCTACAGACGAAATGGACCAAGATCAAGCCCAGACAACAGAATCAACAAACCCCGAACAGAAGCAGGAGAAGAAACGACCTTCTAAGCGAAGCGATTTCAACGTCCCCTACGTCAACAAGAACACTCTCACCCTGATCCACGGCCAAACGCAACCCAACCTCGCTCTTCTACGATACTTCAACTACGACGCCGCAAATGCCAACCCCTCTCCACCCTATCACCCCCTCGACACCAACCTCATGGATATTTCATGGCTGCAGCTCCTTTCCCCCGAGGAAGACGACGCGTACAACAACAAGCCACCCGAGGCAACACCAGAGGAAATTGCGACATGGAAGACGAATCGCAGAGGGAATTACCATCGCAAGAGAAGAAGGTGGGCGCGTATTCGGCATGTGGTCGACACAACACGCGCTGGAGGATTTTCTGGTCTTGCAGTTGCGAGCACCATGGACCCCATCTCTATTGTCCGCAGTACAGTCCCTTTACTAGCCGGTGGCGCTCCCATCGCTATTTACTCTCCCACCATCGAGCCCCTGACGCAACTGGCCGATTGCTTTAGTGTGGCGCGTCGAGCCGCATGGGTATCATCGCCGCCACCAGAAGTCGAAAGCAAAACAGCTGAAGAGCTTGAGCGCTGGGAGGGCAGTGAAGAGTTCCCCATCAACCCTACGCTTCTACTTGGTGTGACTATCCAGACGAGCAGGGCACGACGATGGCAGGTTCTTCCTGGAAGGACACATCCTTTCATGATGGGTCGTGGAGGTGCAGATGGATTCTTATTGACAGCGTGGAGGGCGGTGCCTGTTGAAGGCAAAATCGAGGCGAGAGGAAGGTTTAAGAGGAGAAAGCTAGAACCCTGAGTTATAGAGAAGCTTTGGATCAGGGATGTCTTCATAGCGTACGTATAAGTAATCGTCCAGAATGGACCATGCCCAAACTGACGCCGCAACCTCGTCCAACTCACAAACCTATCAGATGTGCTTCAGGGCAATGAAAGATAGCAGTTTGGGCTTCTTTTGGTTGACATTCTAAGCTTGTGAAGGTATCTATTTACTGGTTATTCCTCTAGAGCCATCAAGGCAGTACGTATGCCAGTGTTAAACTTGAATCCGATGATTCACAATCTTTATTGAAGAAGCTGTGATGCTATGGACTTCTTATTCATATCATAAAGAAACAATCTTGATTGACTAACAATGCGATGCCCTTGCCCAACCGAATCTCATACTGCCAAGCACATCACGAGCCCTGACACGTATGCCTTTAACACCCTGTGGTTGTGCGCCGACACAACATCACCTTTATGGACATCCTCACCCTAATCTGCGTCCAAGTGCAATGTCAAAAAGCACGTCCCACATGCATGGAAATAGGATTTTCTCTCGGTAGTGAGATTGTCTTTCATCCTCTCATTTTTAACGACCATTCTTTTACGGGTGATGGCATGCATGACCATGGCCATATGGAATTCCGGCTCAGGAACCTGTTCCTAGGTATCCTTTTCAAATTCAACATCCAATATTCCTAATTTCGGGGTTGTTCGGAGTGATTTCGAAAGCGATTCAAGATTGTCGAAATTCCGATAAGGGAAGAGAAAGCGTGGAGTGACTAGGACTATCACTGGGAGCTCGCACAGCTTCTTTACGGCTTTCACCCAATCATCATAATGCTCATAGGCCCACGCTCCAAAAGCATGGGGATCATCACCAACCCCAACTTCCTGCCAAGCCATCAGCTCTGGTGCTCGAGGAAGACACTTAGTGCTGAACATGTTCAGCTTGACTTCAACTGTTAACAAATGCCGATGACGACACTGTTCAAAAAGAATCGGATGTATAATATCAGTAAATCGGCGCAGTGATGCCGGTGAATCGAAACTGAACTGCACTCCTTGCAGGAGCTGATATTGCTGGAAACTGGGGTGCTTGGTAGATACGAGCTGGAACAAGACGGCATGTCCGCTCTCTGGTACAGCGACCTTGAGCATGCCAGTCTTTGTTTTGACTGGATGGCCTCCATTCTTTTTCTCTAAACAATGACGCATATACTTCTCGTACATCTCTTGAACATTATCGTGGAGTCGGTGCCTGAGTATACTCGAATTGGATAATAAGCTAGGCGCTATCTCAGAGGGCGCTGTCTCGGGTCGCGCTACAGTCGCAGAGAGCACTGCCCCAGGGGGCGCGTTCTTGTTGCGAACGGCGGCAGAAGGTGTTGTAGTAGAGGGGTTTATGATGCAGGGTAATGTCGTGGAGGACGCATCTTCGTCGCTCTCAGTGGCAGTCTTTGAAGCCTACTCGACTAATTAGACATACAGATGTGTTGATGAATGGATTGACTTACAGGGGGATTCTGAGATTCAGGCGGCTTCCTGGATCGTGTGGACCTTCGAGGAGCGGACTTGGAAGGACCGGCCATGTTATTGAAGAAGTTAGTCGTTCCGATGGGTCACGGTGAATTGGTGTTGTGAATCGTCAGTTATAAATAAGGAGATGGCAAATGGAGATGAAGATTGCGATGATGAGACTGTCTAACCAAATGAAAACTGTTGTATTGTCTTAAACTAGAACTCTTGAGGTGCAAGAATGAAGTAGAAACACGTATCAAAGAGAAGGAGAAGTAAGTGGAAAGGGGCTTCAGGGTAATATAAGCATCAGTCGGTCTTGCTTCCCAAACTCTATAACATCAATCCTAAAGGAGATTTTTGAGAATCACTAAGAAGATGATACTAGAGAGTAGGCAGTGAATCGAACTGATAGTGCTAGAGCATTAGACATTAAGCCACTTCCAATCTCATCTATATAAATTGTTCCAACTCCTGTCCTCTTCTCTTCTCAACCACTTCCATCATAGAACGCAAGTGATACTCACCATGCTCACGTATCATCCTTTCCATCCCTTCCATCAATCTGATTTCAAGCCCAAGTCCCAACCATGCCTGTAAAGACACACTAACGCCTTCCACCCGGTTTTCACAAAATGCGTTCTTTTGAGGAAGAGCAGTTCGCAAGAAAGTGAGGTAAAATCATGGGAGTCTACCTCGTTTGCCGACGCTCTGGCTGCTGCCGGTGTTTTCGACTATGCAATACTAAAGGTGCCCGCCAAAAATTGTACGTCTCCCTCCGTCCCATCTGTCCACTCGTCTGTTCTGTCGAGACTGGCCAGTCGATTCCGATAACCAAGTGGGCCAGTAAGAATGATAGAAAAGGTCTTTGGGGCTTGGTGTGTTATATAATTGCATGAGCGCTGGGCCATATCTTCCATGATTTGAGAATCTATATGAAGTTTTCAGGTTGATGAAAGTTGCCTCGGGCGTGACTTCAAAAGGGACTTGGCGTCGAGCGATCACACTTTGTATGAAACCGCTGAGAACTTCTTGTCTTGAGAATAGTCTCAAATAACTCCACATTGGACTTAACCTGTCCTCTGGAGCGAGACTATAAGATAGAGGGTTGCACGTATTCAGTCAAGAGAGGGAACAATAGGGCTCACAACCTGTCTTGGGACCCCAGAATCTCAGGTTTGACGGTCGCCAGAGCTTGAAGGCCAAGACGGCGGCCAACAGCCCAAGCTTTCAAGGCAATGATGTGTTCTCTTAGGGCGATATTTTCGTCTTCCTCTGCGCTGTCGTAGTCGACATTATAGCGGCAGGATATTATATAGTCTACAAGAACATGTCCAGTCGAAGAGTCGACATCTCTCATCTTATACTCATCTTTTATTTAGCCAAGAGAAGGGACAATAGGGCTCATAACCTATCGCGGGACCCTAGACTCTCAGGTTTGATCATTTGCTCGAAGGCGTTGTTGTCGAGGGGCTTCTAGATTGGGCCAGTAGCTGTTTTCCGATTCTTCTGTTACCTTTGGCACATAATTGGGGATTATCTGCGATTCTTGTGGACTGCTAAAGATCTTGAAGATCTTTTTGATGGTATTTTCGACGCCTCGGTGCATCGCATAGTTTGTGATCTGGTGGTGGTTGATTATTGTTGTGCTCGACACCGAGACCCACGAGGGGGTCGTCCGCCTTAATCGAGTGTCTTTTGGTGTCTCTTGCTCGACTCCGACATTGGCAGCATCTGCGTCGGCTTAGTTGCTGAATTAAATTCCGTTTATATATAATGACCGTCCCAAGACCGGACGTGGTCTTTCGGATCGACCCAAACGAGCGGTGCTTCTCGGGGCAGATTACTATAGGGGGTTTGACTGGACTAGTCCTGTGTTTTTGGTGGCAGAGATATTGATGGGAGAGGTGTTGACTTGAGAGGTATCACTAGGTGACGTGTCGTTGGGAAGTCGTCCAGCTCCTTACTCGCTGGTTGTTCAAGATTTGGTGAGATTATAATCTCAACACCGAGGTCTGGATAAGACCGATCTTCTGGCGTGGCGGCGAGGATCGGCATTTCCGGGAGTGACTGTTCCAATGTGGACCTTGATCTTGCTACGGAGGCCGAAAGAGGGACTGCTAGCGATGGCCGAACCTTGCTCCGGTGGTCAAAGCAGGTCATGGGCTACAATATAACTGGCCCTTCGTCTCCAAATCGCAAATAGAAACATGTGTTCGCTTATAGTGTGTTATATCCAGCTCCTGAGGGTAGCTGACGACTGTCTTGGTCGTTTGTAGGCCCTCCAGATCTAATACTTTTATCTTTGCTCATCCAACCACCCTTACTCAGTAAGTCGTAACTCTATCAATCGGTCTCCGAGGTCCTTGTATACCAGGTGATAAAAGCAGAATCCGGCCTTGAACTCACTCAGGCCCAAACTTATGGTGATCCTCTGGATAGATCTTTAGCTATATCTTTTTACTATAAACAAAGGCACTAATAGATTGCTCTACTAGTTGATCTTTAAGGCTATCTTTTATATAAAAGGGGATACTGCTGTACTTATCTGCAATATAATAGTATGGTTTATAGTTGCGACTCTGAGTCTTAAACTTGAAGTAGCCGGGATAGAGGTTGCTCTGGCTAAGTAGCATAGAGGCCGCAGAGCTACTAAATGTAATAACTGCCTTATTGAAGTGACCGGTGAAGACTGACGTCAGACCATTGAGGAACTCCCTAGCCTGGTCTATCGTTGTCGGGGTTATAGTCTCGGGGAAGGGTGGGTATATTCTAGGACATTTTCATTCGTGCAATGATATGTGTGCGCAGATACCGTAAGCTTCTCTGTATTCTGCTGGATGCCCTTCTTGATATATACAGAAGTTGAATTGTTGTTTCCTGTTCTGAACTCCCCTGTGAAAGAAGAGCCCTTGTATGGCATGATCTGGTTTACCGACCATTCTATTCAGGGCAGCAATATACATGCGCTGAAGTTCAATATCCTCTCTGACCTGATCTTCCAAGAATTCCACGAACCACTTCTTGGAAAGTTTTAGAAGATAAAGAGTGCTGTGAGCAAGGGGTCTTTGGGTGACCTCCATGTTCTGTTGCTTCTGTGTTTCTAACTCTTCAGATGTGAGACGGCCTTGAGCTGCAGCAAAACGGGCTTGCCGTTTCTGCCGACTGTTGAGTCTAGGCATGACGAATCGGAAGTTCCAGGGCTTGGGGAAAGGGATTGATATTATAAAGAAGACATGGAAGGTACATTTATTGGAAGATATCCATCAACGAGTGGGTTGAAACGTGTTGGAGACCCATGTACAGTTGGATTTGATGTCGAGTCGAAAACTGCCGCAAAAGATGACGGGAAATGATCAAAAATAGTTGGACGCGAGAAAATATGATCGAATTAGTAGAAGCAAGTGTAGTACAAAGATAAGGAGACCTGGAGGTCCCCATGTCAGAAAACTAATACGGGATTTGATATGTGTGACGAAACTTACCAGAGATCAGGGAAAGGAAACCTAACGCTGTTTAGGAGGCGTCGAAATGAACAGACGGCTTTGCTTGACGTCTCAAGTTGATTGAAAGTGCATATTAATGCGGACGTGTTCAATGCGAAGTATGATGGAAGTATGATGGGAGAAGATGGAAGCTGTCCGAAGGAAACGCGCATGACTCTAACAGTATGAATCTGATGTCCGCAGAGGAGAGAGAGCAATGCAAAGCTATTAAGCCAAGTATTGTCGATTGGCGTCCCTGATATATAATACAGTATTCGAACCTCTCCTGGAGGTTGAGGATCGCTCTGTACGTCCGGCTGCGCGTGTTTTTGATGGCATGGACCTCGTCCAATATCAAGACTGTACCAAGAGGCTTAATTCCTGGTAGCTCAAATATGTCAGAGAGAAGACAAAGGCTGGGTCGTGCTGAATAATCCTTGGGTTCTTGGGATCCTGAGCGAGCGGCTCTAAGCAAAGAATAACATCTCTGCACACGACCAAGTTCTGCTGAAATTTGATGATAGGAGGCGACAATGACCTTTTATTTGTAAAGTTGCACCAGAGATACCTGTTCGCCAACAAGAAGAAGAGTTGGCATAAAATGCTATAACTATGGCATTAGTCATCGTGAGCAAGTTTAAGAACTCCTTTGCCTCCTGTATACTTGGTTTGGTGTCCGCTTTGTGTTAACGGGTATTGCTCTAGTACCCTGAACAGTAAACGCTCGTTGGCATGGCCCAAAGCGGCCCGACAGCGAAACGATCTGATCAGTGGATGCAATAGGAATCCTAGCAAGACGTTACGAGTTTTGTGGGTGATAGCACCTTCTGACCAAATTTAGCCTTCTAGCTTTTGTTGACATCAGTGAAATCTCTGTAATGTCAAACCCAGGGTATGGCGGGACATCAATGATGCCTGCGAATATATTCTCTATGTCTAGCACCTTTGCAACGTTCTCCTGGCGTCCGCTGCGAGGGCTGTTGATGATTTTGAGATCGGAAGAGATGGTCGTCGTATATTATGCTTACACAAAGACTAAAGGCAGAGGTTGCTGCATGTATGTACTGGTTGCATTCTAGGTCTGGGGAATAGGCCTTGACCCTGTACTTCATGAACCCACCCGCAACCGGTTCGAGTCGCTGTCCACTAGACTCGTGAATCTTGGTCGACTTTCATGACCTCTGTTTCTCGGCCGGTATCATATCGGAAGAGAATTATGGTTTCACCACAAGATTTGACCTCGTTGAGGCATGCGGCCGGAGTGTCATGATCTTGAGCACGAGAGTCAGAGCTTCTGTGCTGTGGTTAGTGACTATAGGACTTCATGCAACGATCGACTTACCGTGGGGAAGGACAGTGAGGTTGATGATCTCTGGGGGCACAACCGTTTTGTCTGACAGGAAGACCACATAATGCGCGTCATTGTATGCTCAGGTCCCAACTTGAAGAGACATTGGCGTCATTGACGTGCTGTGGGTGTGTTGCGTTGATACAGCAGTAAAGAAAAACTTTGCTCTGCATTTGATAGACATCTCGTCGTAGTTGGCCTGGATGCTTGGAGAGGCTACCTTGTATATAACGACTTTATCATGGCAGTGTTGTCTTGGGGCGTGTGATGACGAGGTGCTGAGATGAGGAGTCAGGGTACAAGGTTTTTTATGAATGAGGAAGAGAGTTGTTTACAGTATACCATATAGTTTAAGAGAAGTGGCCGTCGTAAACAGCTATTTCAAGGGCCGGGTTTTGGCGGAAAGAAGAAAGGATGGACTCGTTCCGAGCCCCAAGACCTTATAGTCGCCCTCGCCGTCCTCGTAAAGATCATGGTCGTAGACCATGGCAACCGAGTAAGCACCCGAGGGTACCCCTGAGGCCTTGGAAGTTAGATCAGGTCTCAGTTGCGAGCCCCGATGCCTCCGAGTGAACTCTTTGATGTCATATGCCCACAGGACTAGAGATGGGGGGAGTCAGGCAGCAAAATGTTTCAAGCTCTTCTCCTTTGTTGTGGAAGAAGAAAAGACTATAGAGATAACTGAGTTTATATATAAGGTCTGAGATCATGTTGTAGCAGTAGACTCTGTCTCATCATCAGGGGATGTGGGAGAATTTATAGATAAGAGGGAGGCCTTTGATTGTTGACTATTCACTCAGGATGAGGTCATTTAACAATTGATTGTTCAAGCGAGGTTAGAGGTAAATGTGCTGCCTAAACAATCACTTGTGCCATCTGAAATCGGACAGTGCCACGCACGTTTACAAACAGACCTATACAAGCATGATATCCCCTGATTGTCAATAGCATAAAACAAGGGAGCAGTGCCAGATAGCAAAGGCTTTCAATCTCAAGTCATAAAACACTTGGATATATTTATGGTAATTTATGGTAATTTATAGTAAGTTATGATGATTTGTGATGAGCTACAATAAGTTATGATGATTTTATGGTAAGTTTGGCAGGCTTTTTAAGGCTGTTTATTTTTGTCGCTTGATGGAACGATCTCAAGTGTTGTGACACTCCAAGAATTGAGAAACGGACAGCAATAGGTCAAGTAAGTACTGAAAATGTATTTTGTATGACGCCAGCTCCTCGATTCGGTGATAGTCCTCTAAATTGTCTTTCCTCAACCCTCCTTGCTAATACTCTACAGAGACTTGCCCATGAACTTTCTCTTGGTAAAGCTCAACCACCACTTGCTGGGCTTAGTCTCGTCCTCGTCATATACCCTAGCGAGTAATCGGGAAGCAAGCTCCTGTCGAACCTGCGACAGATATTGCTTAAGCTGCTCCGCTTCTTGTCTGTCCCTAGGGGGCTCGTACATCTACAGTCAAACATTAGCAAACCGGCCAATTTGTCGCGCTGTTTGAGTTTGGCAAACACACCTGGTTGAGGGGCCATGCAGGGTCTCCAGGAATAGCAAAGTTAAGGTCAAGCGCCAAGTTCAAAACATCCTTCTGGGCATCACGCAGAGAAGCCTGAGGTCGGATCTTTGTCAGACAATCGCTGACAAACCAGATTCCATACACAAGCAGACGGTCGGCAGGGCCTTGGATCTCAAAGTTTCGGAAGAATGTGTTGGCGCGGAAAAGGGCGAGGACCTCGTCGAGGATATCGTAGCTCTCGCTGTCGGGGTCGGGTGACTCGTTGGCCGGCAGAGGCGGCGAGGGGTTAGGGAGGGTGTAGGCAGGGCCTCTGGTCTTGGTACGGAGAGGGAGAAGAGGGAAGTTGCCGATTATGCGGGGGATGTTGGGATCATTGTTGAAGACGGAGTTGTATGCCTAGAAAGGTGTTGTTAGTTTCGTTGATATCGTGAGATGCGGTGATGAAATAGGAGATGGTGGAGTGTGTGTGTAGTTGATTGCGAGTATAGGTGTTTGCCTTGGACATACCGGCATCTTGGACAGCAATTAATAGACCAATTCCAGTATATCAGAGCTGTTTTGGAGGGAAATGGACAAATCGGCGCAAGTTACGGGCTGATGCTGAGTTGCGCTTCGTCACCGGCGGGGCTACACCAAGCTCACGAAGCTCACTCGATTGGTGTGGGGCAAGGCTGGAGCAAAGTTGATGCCTTATTCGAAGATTGTCAATCAGGCCATAAGGACGATGTGGCGCAGCACTAAGCTCCCGCCTCCTTTACGGCTGCCTAAAGCTAGGATGCTTCCTCACGTGAACTCGCTTCTCATTCGCGCCGATTAGCTCCGCGACGAATCACGGTGGCGACGCGCTTTTTCCCTCGTCCCGCGTGCAGATTCTTCCTGGTGCAGATGCAGGTCGTATCCACTAACAACTCATACCTAAGAGAGAAGAAGCCTTGCCTTGGTTTCACGCCCTAAGTGTGATTCATTCAGTGTCACCGATATTTCCTCTTTCTCCCCTCCTTCACCTTCTTCTTCTTCCACTGTCCTCTTACAAAAAGAAGAGTCTCTTTTACAGTTGCCTTGTTCTTCTTTTTGCTCATTTCCTATTGGACGCTAAACCCCCTTTTTTTACTTTTTCCCGTCAATCTTTTTGACAAGGGCGACGCTCGTGCCAGACGCTAGCGGAGAGCTTGTCACTGGAAAAGACTGGAGACAAACAGGGAATCATTAAGGGCGCGTCGCAAAACCAAGGCGTTACAACAAAGACTGGAAAGAAACATCCGGCTTCAGGCAACCAACAAACGCTCAAAGAGTCATTCAAAGGGAGGCAAATACAAATCGAATATTCAATCATCGGATGCTTGCATTTGAGTAAGTTTGCGCCATTCTTCTATTCTTTTCCCTTTGACAACAAGGATATCCTCCCCAACAATCCATTTATACCCAGCGCTAATCGATCCTCCTCGCGACAGTTCTTTCTTTGGAAACGGCAGCTTCATTGGACAGCTGCGCAGTTTGGTGGATATGGCGACTTCACAATCTTCTACTTCTTCGATTTCACCGTCGCGCAACGGTAACGGCGTATCACTGGACACAACGCCCTGCACTTCACAAGCGCCCGTCGTCATCCCGCGAAAAAGGCGTCCGCAGCGCATCTACCGGCCCGCAAAGAACTCGCTCTACGATATCTTTCAGCAACACGCCGGCACTTCGCTATTTGTGCGACCTATTTGTTGGACAGATTTACACGCTCAGCTGCTCGGCGCGAGATGGGAGGAACTGCCGCCATGCGATACACCTCAGCCTTCAGCGGCTCCAGGCACGCCACCGTCGCGAGGACATTTGAGCCCATCGAATACCATCATCAGTCTTAGCAACGCGCTCACGCAGATTCTCCTGCCCGATCCATTGCATCCTATCCTATCATCAAATGCTGTCAAGTCGGTTCTCAACACGCT